GTCTCTCCCCCCTCACCGCCCCCCCCCCCCGTTTTTTGAAGACAGAAAGCTGCCTTCCCTTCAGTCAGACTATTGGTCCATCAAGTATTCTCTTAGGCAGGTTCCTTTTCAAGACTAACCCAAAATGCCCAGGGCTGATCCAGGGACCTTCTACATGCAAAGCCTGTGCTGGTTTCTTGTGCAAATAGTACCTTAGTTGGATTTTTTTTTTTTAAAAAAAAGGCTTCCATCTCTCCCTCCTCTCCTGCGTTGCCGCTTTGAGTAGGATGCATTCTCCTGCAGCAATTCAAGTGAGTCATACAAAGAGTATCTAGGTGGAATGAACAGGGAGCGAAGGAGGATTTTCCCTCAACATGTGCTGCAGATGTGTGGAACTCATTGCTGTTAGACAGTCTCAAGGCGTGAGTGAGATGTGGCTCTGTAGTTTTATTCCGCTGCCACAGTAAAAACCTGGTCTAAGAAGAGACAATGCTAAAACACTTTCAGACCAACATTCTGGTAGTTGCATCGTGAAAAGACAGAGCTGGGAAGGTTGAGGAAAGAGCAGCCAAAACAAGCAAGGAGTTGGAACATCCTTTCCCTGCGAGTAAAAGCTAAAACATCTTGGTCTTTAGAGCATAGGAAAAAATTCAGCTAATGGAGAACATAAAGTGGTTTATAAAATTTTGAATGCAATTTTTTAAATATAGAATGAGAATTCAGGGTCTTTGAATACACGACAGCAGGTTTAGACTGTTGAAAGCATAATTAATGTGTACCTTTTTCTTTGCATTGATTAATAAGGAGTGCTCCTAGTTAATTGGGTAGCAGATTTTTTTAAAAAAAAAATGGTTAATAGTCTTTCATCTAAGTACATAAAAGAATCATAGGAGATACATGGATATTCTTGTGATGCTGCCAGAAAAGGCCTCCCCTTAGCAAATTATCCATGTGTCTTGCAACATGAGTCCCCTAATAGTGCAGTCCTATGCAGCCCATACCCATTGATTTGAATGGGTTTAGACTGGAGTAATTTTGGATAGCATTGCACTGTAATCCATGTACACACTGTAGATTTGGTAGCACACCTTGCAGTACGTGTAATATGCGCACCAGTTTGTAAGTCATCAAACATACACAACTCTACATTCTCCAAAGAAGCCCAGGAACAGCTGGACAGTGAACATTTATGGGTGGGCAAAAACTGAAAACCACGTGGGTGGGTGGGTGGATGTGTAGTTGACCCAAGCAGCAGAATGTTGTGGTAGAGTCCTGAGGTAGTACCACCTCAGACGGCAGGAGGGGTTGAATCATATTTTTGAATGCTCCTTGCCTTAAAATAATCCTTTCAAGTAGAAAATTAGCACAGGTAGTACTGGGCTGAGCCAGAGTGTTTTCCCATGATGTGCTAAATTTTTGCCAGTATGGAATTTTTCCATGGGACAACTTAAAAAAATTACAACCCCCAGTGGCAGTCTGAAGAATCCACCCTACTGTGTTAGCATTCTGGTACTGCTCTCTGCTTCTTGTTTATCCTTCTGGCCATTGCATGTCTTTCACCTTTACTGTGCTTTCCTAAACAGAGTTACACCTTTCTTAGTCCATTGAAGTCATTGGACTTAGAAGGGTGTAACTCTGTTTAGGTTTGCAGGAGCAGATTGTTCTTTGTTATCTGACATGTACGTGTTACTTACAACATGTTAACAGGGCAACTGTCCAATTGTTTGGGTTTATTTGGGGTGTGGAGCAGTGCACATCCTGCCATGATACCCGTCTGCGTTATCAACTGTTGCTGTTTTGGGAAGCCCAATTGAGGGCCCCGATTCCTGTCATCTGCATTTCCGTTGCTTTATCTACAGGAAGCTTAAGGGGAGGGTTTGATGCTTCCATTGACGTACAAGCAGGCAAAAAAAGCATGCAT